CCCAGCGTCTTCCCTTAAATATCCGTCACCAAATCTGCCTTCTCCAGCCTGGTGAAGTGTGGTATATAAAAACCGCACGCATACACCCGACGGCCGACACTGCGTGCGAAAGGACTTCATCCAGCAGTGGATTGGTAACGGTCTGTAAATTGTACAGCGCTTGTCAACAATAAACATTATGATTAGCACCCGATTTTATGTGTTCTCAATGATTAACGTCTCTCTGGAAATGTCATTTAAAGTAGTTTCGCCGCCACTGCTGCCTGCTAAAGAGGTGTTGTGTTGGACTCATTCGCTTGAAAAACAATACTTTTATTTCAATACCGAATTCACCACCCCGTCATACGCATGCAGATGACATCAAACACGTACAACTCAGACCTCGCATAACGCGACACACATTAGCGCTGCAACGGAATTGGCCACACATCCCAATAGAGATGATCCTCCTGTAAAAAAAAAAAACTCGTAGTATTGAGACTCAATTGTACGATTTCCTAGAGAAATTCATGACGTTAAAATGGTACATTCGCTTCGACTTATGCACGCACGCACACGCGCGCGGGACACCCACCACCGTGGCAATATCGCCAAGTTAAATTGTTACTATTTGAGCAGCGCACATCTTTTCGCGCAAGCCCACGGCTGATTTGCGTTGGCATTTGGTTCACATTGGGCTCACCCAGCTTGTGCACGTAACTTGCAGCACCGCGTGTCCACATAATCCATTTTAATGGGCTTGGTATCGCGACGACTTAAGCACAAAGCGACGCGGGGAGACGGAAGATGGAAAGGTGACGGCGGTAGTGGTAGTGGTGGAAGTCACATATTCACCACTGGCCGCTCACTGAATTGTCTCTCATTTGGCTGCAGTCGAACGATCTCGTTCGTCGATTACAAACGCGGGTCTGTCCCGTAACCTGTCGGCGGCATGAAGCATCATTCACTCACCACCCACAGTCTCAACCTCGCAGGCTGTGGGCTGCAACACGCATGTGCTTGCAACAGCAACAGCGAATATAAGTTGCTCTACCCCGTCTCTCTCTCTCTACAACGCACCGCCGATTAGCATGGTTGGCTACGTACGGTGCGAATGAACTTCAACACACATACACACAACGCCACGTCTTGTCTGATGGATGCATGCTCCACAATGCAATCAGCGGGCAGACCAATCCGTGCCGGTAAAAACGCGCAGCGAATGCTGGCAAAATGTGGTTTGCTGGCTGGCCGAAAGTACACGCAAGCAATATATTTTTTTTCTGTATGAAAATTCAGTCGGGTCATTCATTGCGTCGCTTAAGTCTCCCTTTAGTAGTTTTTTTTCTTTCCAAGAAATGTGTAAAGCGGTTGTAAAGCGAGTGTTAAAAGTCAGGGGCCGTGCCCTACTCGCCTGCCCCGTGCAAGCCGTGCTAGCAGTGGGCGGACTGTGTACATCGATTTCTTAGAAGCCGCGATATGTGAGTGCGATTTGTGCAGAAAACACGGAACGAGAGCCAAAAAATTGAAAACTGACCGCAAGCCAAAGAATTATATGCGCGCACGTATGTGTGTGTGTGTGTGCACGTACGTGTGTGCATCTCGTGTGTGGTGTGTATGCGTGCGTGTGCGCTGGTGTGTGCTTGCCGAGCTTATTGTAATGTCACAACTATAGCCGCAACCCGTTATTATCTGAAGCATCGTAAGGTAGGCAGGTGTGCAGTTTGGCGTCAAGTCTACGTTGGTTCGTGTGTGTGTTGTGAAGTGCTGCTATAGGACATGCGTTCACCCGATGACCATTAACAAACTCAACTATCTTACGTGCATTGGCACACAGGCACGCGAACTGGGATACATACAGACACACACACGCACACCAGAACTGAACTAATGCATTGAACAGAACGCACACAGTCCAGACACACACGCGTGTGCGCGCGTTGCGTATGTCCACGACATCACACTCCCGTTCATTCCAGTACCATTCGCAACAAGCCACAACCAAACAACCCAACACGAACTATCCTGGCTAAGCAGCAACATTCAAACGTGGAGTTTCTACAGGGCGCACAGAAAACAGCCACAACTCGCTTCTCAATTCATTAGCAACAGCTCGTTTATTAGAATCTTTCCCAGGAAATTGAGGGAAATTAGTCCCTGTAGATTTGTACACTTTGAAAGCACTATGTTTCTTGTGTCACATCAGTAATTATTAACATACTGAAATTGGCTGGCTGCAACATGGCAAGGCGTTGCGGAAAGGAATGGATGGTGGCGAATGTCTTATACGATGATGATGATGGTGATGATGATGGTGGTGGTGAAAGTTGGAGCAAACATTTCAATGTTTTTTTTTTCACATCAAGACGGGCAAACCCATGTCTCTACAATGCAAGTCTATTATAATTATTATAATGAATATGAATAATTATTATTACTCTTTTTATCTCGTGCTCACGTTTACATAATCATCAGTGCTACTTTTTTTTAAAACACCCATATAGCACATTACACTACCTAATCTTTTTTTTCTCAATTTATTTACTTTGGTCTAAAAAATAAACAAGACTTCAATACAGTGGAATATTTTCAACAGCAAGAATTCTCTCTCTCTCGCGCTTTCACTTTGCTTAATGCTGTATAATCTAATAATTAATGTTCTTGTTTAAATTGAAAACACTATTTTATGACATCCACTGCATTCATGCATTTTTTTCCGACCAATGCTCAGTCTGTAAAAGGTACTGTATATTGCAAACAATTAAAGTCATCATATATATGTATAAAGCCTCATTTAAAAAAAATGAAAACAATTGTATTATCCTCCGCTATTTACTTATAGTGCATTGCGTTTTATACGAAACCTAACTCAGAACTAACCCAGCTCTCTTAACATGCCCGCATATTAAAAAAGATTAGGAAAAGCACAAAGCAAATTAAAAGGGGAGGTGGGTAAGGTAGGCGGGGTGGGTAAGGGAGAAGGGTTGGTAGGTGGGTAAGGGTGAAGGGGAGATGGATGGGTAGAGAGGCAGCTGGGTTAGGTAGGTCGGTAGGTAAGGTAGGTAGGTGGTGGATAGATGTAAAGGTAGGTGGGCAGGTAAGAGGGTAGGTAGGTGGGTTGATAGGTAGGTGGTGGATAGGTGTGAAGGTAGGTGGGCAGGTAAGAGGGTAGGTAGGTGGGTAGATAGGTAGGTGGTGGATAGGTGTGAAGGTAGGTGGGTAGGTAAGAGGGTAGTTGGGTGGGTAGATATGTAGGTGGTGGATAGGTGTAAAGGTAGGTGGGCAGGTAAGAGGGTAGTTTGGTGGGTAGATATGTAGGTGGGTAAGGGTAGGTTGGTGGGTAAAGAGAACGGCGAGCAGAGGTGAGCGTGAGTGAATGTAATGCGGATGTAATGCATGTGTCAGTATCGAATATGAAGATTCACATAGCCGTGGAAACTTGTGTGCAAAGTGTGGTTGGTGGTATGTGTGTGTTTGCGGAGTACGCGCGAGTTTCACACACCGCACACACAGAACTGAGCATGAAGAAGAGGTGGTGAGGAGGTGCGGTAAAGAGGGAGGGATGGAGGGAGGGAAGAGGGGGAAGGGGGGTCAGAGCCAACTGCAAGTAAAATACAAAATTAATCATAACGCCAATGAAACCCACACTTCATAATGCGTACTCGTGTATATAAAATTAGCGCTCTACGCCCGCGGTATTCAAATCGCCATCCTCTCGTCCTCCGAGTTGTAAATCTTGAAGAAAGGAAACGGTCCCCGTGTTCAGTGGCCTGCATTGAGGCCAGCATTAGAGTTTTTTGTTTGTTGGTTTGTTTGTTTTCCATCAAAGAAACAAATAAAATAAGAAACAGCAACGACAAAAGAAAAATAAAGGAACAATTTTAACCGTTCTGGCTTTTAAGTTCAGTTCCGTTCCACAAACGTTTTTTTTTCGTTTCCTTAAATTTTTTGTTGCGATTGCTTTGTTCATGGTTCTGGTTGTTGCAGTTTGTGTCGATCACAGTCGGAACATTTTTTTCTTCTCAGTTCGGTTAAAAAGTGCGCGGCTGTGGGAGAGAAAGGTCATTCCAGTTCGACCGTGAGTCTTGTCCATCACGCACGTCTCTCTCTCTCTCTCTCCATTCGAGAAAGGGCATTGCCATCATCATCCTCTTCATCATCATCAGCAGCAGCTCCCCAAAAATGATGCCCTCTCTTCCTAAGGGCATCGCGTCCTGTGGCTGCAGGTACGACGCGTCGCGGCGGTAGGTTTGTTCCAGCCACACAGTTCAAAGTCCCTGGCGGTCAGGTGCGATCCAAATAAGACACCTTTCTCATACGTTAGCTCCCCCCCTGCCCCCACGACTCCACTACCAGCCCCCCCCCCAAAAAAAAAAAAACACCCCGCAACGATATCCCCCCCAAATCCATTGCCAAACAACGCGAGTTTTCCTGTACATAATCGTCTAGCCGTACATGTCCCGCATGCAGGTCAGTTAGTACAAGGCTACACACACACACAATGTGTTTCATTCATTATAACTACACGAGCCAGAAATGCAATTTAAGATGCAATGGGATGGCATTGTTTAACTTATACACGTTGATGAGAGAGAAATTACACGGGTATCTTCTTTATATGCGTTAAGTACACTGTCGAGGCAATGGGGGGGTGGGTTTGGGGGGGGGGTGGGGGGGCTCAGGTTGGGTATAGAGGTTGGGGAGGGGGGTAAAGTCAGCCACCGGCAAAAAGCACCCACCGGCTCTGGGGGTGAGGGGTAGGGGGGCCGTGGTGGATGATGAAGAACTTGGTCGAAGTTGTCAGGCGAGAGGGGGGGGGGTCACGGGGTGGTTGGTTGGGGGGGGGGGGGGTCGCAGTGTTTCTCGGGGGTCGTGGTAGAGGGGGGGGGGGTCGGGGTGGACTATGGCTGGGGGAGGATGGTGACGGCGGAGTGGGCCCCGGCTGGCAGGGGAACTGGCGGTGGCGCCACGGGGCAAATCAGCCAACAGCCGCAGCAGCAGCAGCAGCAAGCAGCCTGCAGGGCAGTAGCAGCAGCAGCAGCAGTCGGCAGCGCGAGTCGCGGGCAGGATGAGTCGGTGACGCTGGCGGGGCTACAGCCGGGCAGCGGCCGAACGAACCGACGGACCCGCGCGTGGAGGAAACACGACGGACATCTCCGCATCACATGAGGAAATCTGGAGATCGTGCCTCGTCGCTCACCGCCTTGGCGCGGAACGCTGTGGCGTGCTGCTGCTGCTGCTGCCCGGCTGCTGCAGCCGCAGCCGCCGCCGCCGCGGCCGCATGCTGCACGGCGGCCGCCATCCGTCCTCCGGCCAGCTTCTCGTACTTCTCCTTGTAGGCGTCGCGCTCGCGGCCCACGCGCACGATCTCCTGCTTGAGGTGGTCCACCTGGCGCATGAGGTCCACCTTCTCCGACTCGAGCACGTGCTTCTGCTGCACGCGCTTGTAGCGGCACGACTGCGCGTAGCCGCGGTTCTTGAGCGTGCGCCGCTTCTGCTTGAGGCGTACCACCTCGTCCTTGCTGAAGCCGCGCAGTTGCCGGTTGAGCTCGCGCACCGACATGGACACCAGCTGGTCGTCGGAGAAGCGGTCGTCCACGTGCGACGAACCGTGCAGCGCGTGGTGGTGGTGGTGATGGTGGTGGTGGTTGTTGTGATGGTGATGCTGCTCGTGCTGCTCCAGCTCCTCGTCGTGCTGATCGTGCTGATCGTGCTGCTGCTGCTCGTGGTGCTGCTGCTGCTGGTGTTGGTGGTGCTGCTGCTGCACGCTCTCGTGCTCCATGCCCTGCTGCGCCACGTGCGCGTGGACGGGGTGCGCGGGATGCCCGTGATGCTGCGGGTGCCCGTGCGGGTGATGAGCGCCGGGGGGCATCGGCTGCTGTTGCTGACAGCCAGCGGGCGTCATGTCTTCGTGGTGTGGCCCCATGACCATGAGATGCGGCGGCGGCTGCTGCTGCTGCTGCTGGCCAGGCTGACCCGGCTGCTGCTGCTGCTGCTGCTGCGTCGGCCGGTACCCACCGTCGTAAGCCGGCTGGAGGTGCGGGGCATGCGCGCCGCTGCTGCCTATGAGCGCCTCGACGGCGTCTTCGGGCGACAGGTGCAGCGCCTCGGGGTTCAGCTGCTGGTAGCTGCTCATCCAGTAGAGCTCCTCCAGGTGCGTCTTGGGGTCGCTGGGGCTGGGGGCGCTGAAGCTGGGCGACGAGGGCACAGAACTGCACGGGGTACTCATGGGGGTCGAGGAGAGGGATCCGGCTACCCTACTGCAGGGCCGTACGACGCTACCGTTGACTGCTTCCAGTGGCTCTTTCTTCACCTCGAACTTGAGCAGGTCGAAGTCGTTAACGTATTCCATCGCGAGGGGACTCGTGGGCAGATCGCTGTGGATGGGCTGCAGGTCGGCAGCCATCTGTACCTCGAGGCGCATTGAGGTGCTGAAAAAGTCCACTCATAAAAAAAGTCGGAATAGTTGGTGCGCGCGTGGTAGTAATAGTTATTAATAAATAAATAGTATTAAAAAAAAACTTCGAATAACTAAACCCCCTTCTCCCCCCCCTCTCTGTACGCAGAGTTAAGTTGTACGCGTGCTGCAGTTGTGATGTTCCCGGACAAATAAAAATCAGCTGGCAAGCTCCGTCCGTGGCTCTTGGAAGAGCGCGAGTCGCAGCCTTTTGCGTCTCTTCTTCCTCCTCCTCGTCTCCCCCTCTCAGGAAAAGTCAATGGCTCCTTTGAAGTGCGATCAACACGCGTGCAAGTCCACTCGCTGGCTCGCTCACGCCGACGCACGCTTCTTCATCTGGACCAAGCGGACTCGAGACCAGCGGCGGCTTACTGACGACGGAGCATCACCGCGAAGAAACCCCCCACGGGGACGTGCGTCAGTAGTAGTAGTCGGTAGCAGTAACACAAAATCAAAGCAAACCCCCCCCCCCACCGCCACCGCCAGCCACCTTGTTTAAGCGAGTCAACCTTTGGGGTGTCTGGCAATTCTCCCTCTCTGTTATATATCGTCCAGGGAAGAAGGTGTTGAAACGGAGAGCTCCTGCAACCACCACCACCAGCAGCAGCAGCAACAACAAAAAAGATAAAACGTTGCTGCGGGGTTGGGTAAAAAGCGCGTTTGGCTTTCTTTTTTAAATGTAACGCGGAAAACGTAAAAAAAAAACCGCGCGACACGAAACGCCACCGCGGGTGTAGAGCGAGCAGCAGACAGCCTCGCCGGCGTTTTATATGCAGCCTGACGCGAGCTATGCGGACCTCATAGGGGGATGGGTGGGTGGGTAGGTGGGTGGGGGTACCCTACGGCTTCCACTCCCACCACCACCACCACCGTTAGCCAATAGCGAGAGCAGAAATCATCTCGTTAGCATAAAAATGTAGAAACGAGACGGTGCCGGCTGGGGGTGCTCGGCCAATTGCGTGCGCGGTGCCCGCCTACGAGCACCCAGAAACTCCGGCTCCGCGGGCACGAGTCGCTCCCCCTCCAGCCTGTCTCCTCCCCCTCCTCCTCTCCCCTCCCTCCCTCCAGCACACACACGCGTGCACAGCCCTCCCCCCCCCCACCACCACCACCCCCCATCAACCCACCCACCGTACACCAGCGCCCTACCCCCCACCACCCACACCGTATCCCTCCTACCCCCACACACACACCAGCACACGACCCCACCAACACACCCCGTACACTCGCAGTGTCAAAGCGCCGCCTCTCTCTCTCGACACAGCCACTGCGCACCCCCTCGACTAACTACACAAGCTCACAGCACGCGCCACACACACACACGCGTACACACACGCGCCACACACACACACGCGTACACACACGCCACACACACACGCGCGCGCATACACACACACGCGCGTACACACACACGCGCGTACACACACACGCCACACACACACGCGCGTACACACACGCCACACACACACACACGTGCCACACACACACACGCGTACACACGCCACACACACACACGCCACACACACGCGTACACACACGCCACAAACACACACACGCGTACACACACGCCACACACACACACGCCACACACACACACCACACACACACGCCACACACACACGCCACACACACACACAGGTACACACACACACAGGTACACACACAGGTACACACACACACGGATACACACACACACATACAGGTACACACACAGGTACACACACACAGATACACACACACACAGACGTACACACACACACACAGGTACACACACACAGGTACATCCACACACACAGGTACACACACAGGTACACACACATGTATACACACGCACACAGGTACACACACAGGTACATCCACACACACAGGTACACACACACACAGGTACACACACAGGTACGCACACACAGGTACACACACAGGTACACACACACACAGGTACACACACACAGGTACACACACACACAGGTACACACACAGGTACACACACACAGGTACACACACAGGTACACACACATGTACACACACGCACACAGGTACACACAGGTACATCCACACACACAGGTACCGCGTGCTATCTCGCATATTCTCTGCTGGCGACACGCACGCGGGCCGCTCGCTCGTGACATACACTTTGGCTTTTAATTATGAATGCTCGCACGCATTCCCAAACTTCTGTGGACGCGTTACATGCGCCGCTGTACGCAAATTGGCGTTAAAGGTTTGCCTCTGGGGGGGTGGGGGGGGGAGCTTGTGGGATTTGGGGTGGGGGGGTAAAGGAATGGATTTTAAAGGGGTCGTGCATATACGTTTCACTCATCCGTTGCTTCTTTGCTCATTAACAACAACAACAATATCCCTTGGGAGAGTGGGGACAGGTGTCGTGAGCGAGCAGCACCTATGAAGGCCGTGTCACGGCTCACGATGCAAGAGAGTGGTGTGTGTGTGTGTAGCGGTAGTGCAGCGGTTAGCGCTATGAACCTGGCGTCCCGAGTTCGATTTCCCGTTTAGGGCCAACACCAGTGGCGATTTTCTGATGCCTTCATGGGCCTGGGTCGACTCAGCCTCAAATGAGTATCGAGTGCGACGTGTAAACATCGCCACTAGGGAGACAAAGGCGGCCGGGCGTGGTGCTGGTCACCCACCCCCTCGTGTGCCGTTCCGGCCGTCATAGGTGTCACTAACAGCACTTGCCCCAACAGTCTGTTCAAAGGCTATACGGGAGTGCTTTGTCTTTGTTGTTTTAGACCGGCACCCCCACGCCCGACCGCCTTTGTCTCCCCGGTGCCCCCCCCTCCCCCGCAGTGACACGGTCAACACGTGCACATTGTACACTGTCGGGCAGTGCTTGGCACTTTGAATGCGCGCGGTAAATCTTGGCGAGCCGAACAAGTTAAACGCCGAACAAGTTAAACGCCGAAGTAGTTCAACGCGCCGATACGTCTCTGTTGTTTGCCCGAGCGGGGATTTTAATTAGGTGATAAAAAATCAATTATCCGCCATAGTTTAATAAGCGTGCATTTACAGCCGGCGTTCAGCAACATACGTGCGCACAATCAGACATACGTACAAACACCTATAAACCACACCGTGCCCATGACAGCCGGACGCAAATATGTCATTGCACCGTTCGTCACCGTGGGAGGTGACAGAGGCTTGGGGAGGCCCTCATCCAGCAGTGGATTGACCACGACTGATCATTATGACCTACAGGCAAACGCACTCAAAGCATGTCGCCTTCAGCTGACGTGCCGATGATCATGATAGCGTTTACGCACGGCACGGCGTGCGGGGAGAAATCCACCCAGCAGTGAATTGACGAAAGGGCTGTGCGTACGACACGTCTAATGCGTCTGTGTGTGTGTCTGTCTACGAAGTCTGTGTGTGAGGTCTGGCAATTGTTGTGTTTTTTCTTATTGTTGAAATTATGAAAAGACGATCGTCACTTCGTGTGAAGGTGGAAATAATATTCCCGTCGCACGATCGTAAGAGGCGGCGGCGCAGATGCATGGATGGGGATGGGGACCTTGATCCAGCAGTGGTGCTGATGATGGCAACGATGAAAAGACCGTGGTCTCAGGCGGCTTCGTGAAAAGTGTGGGTTTGTTCGCAACTCGCAACGCATTAATGCAACAGAAAACACACACACACACACAATCGCGCTCCTGTGTTACAACACGCACACACAGCTCTTGGGTGGTTATATAACTAAACACACACACACAAAATGTATATCGCAATCATCGTATTACCGCATTCTCCGGATGAATAGACGCTCCTGAAAGTAAGACGCCACCCCAATATCCTCGTGTCAACTACGTTATACCAATATGGTCACACACACACACACACACCGGATAATAAGCCTCGCCGCCAAATAAAACACAACACGTGAGACTCCATTGCGTTTTACAATGCGGAGAATGCGGTTATCAGACTTTGCCATCCCATTGCCAAGCCGTTGCTAGATGGAGCCCTCCCGCCACGCTGCGTCGGTCGTGGTTTCTAATGTGAACGTACTTCACCACTCTGCACCCCGAGACGCACAAACTTGCATGCGCGCTGTGCACGTGGGTAACACTGGGGAGACAAAAGCGGCCGGTCGTGGTGCTGGCCACCCACCCCCTCGATGAGCGCGGCTCGGCAAAGGAAGTCAGCTTCCGTGCCCTGTGCACATACCCATCGCTAGCCACTGATGGTTGACCGTGGCCGGGATGTCGAACTCATGCGTTCGCCCGTTCCATAGCGACAACCGCAGCCGTCGCACGCTCACCGCTGCGCCACCTGCTCAGCGATCGGAGAAACACACTGGCGGTTTTGATGGCACCATTCGCACCGGTGGACAAAAGTTGTCACGGGCGCGCGACTCGCCGGCTACCATCAGTGGGGGGCGACCGCCTCCGGTTCGGAGAATCGCGAGCCGAGTGACAAAGCCGCGGGACGACGGGGTGGGTCCTCCAAGACGAGGCCGATAAATTATTGTCTCGTTCGCGCGGGGCGTTCATCGAGCAGTGGATTGATCACGACCGATGGACTCCCCCCACCCCCCCCCCTCCCGCGAGCATTCGTTGAATGCAATCGCAGCGGCGTGGTTCGACAGCGGCTCGCGTGACTGCGCCAGTGTGTCACGCGAGTCACTGCTGCCCCCCCCACGCCGCATGAAGCTAAATCGTTGTCATTTGACCATCAACGTAGCGACACCGGAGGCACAGAGATAGAACGCCGAGGCAGATTAGCCCCCCTCCCTCCGCCCCTCTGCGTCAAGCCACTGCTGGACGAAGCCCTTCTCGTGCCCGTTCGCGGCGCTTGTTTGACCATACTTCACCGCGCTGGTCAGTGCGGGTTAGCGAAGATGTGGCGGCGGGAGGGCGAGACCTGCGGCATGGTTGAGATATCACTCGCTTGCCGCTGGTGTTAGCAGCCGTCGGGTTTCTCGGGCGTTGATATTAAACCAGTGTTACGCTGAATTGCATTGTGATACATGTGACGGCTTTGGGGCCACTTCATCCAGCAGTGGGTAGGTTACGGCTCATGTAAGCACGCACGCGCGCCCGTGTTCCATACTGGTAAACACCACCACCACCACCATCATCAGTTATGACTCGATCTGCCCATTCAAAGTGCTCTTATTATCAAGGAAATCGTCCAAACTTCCAAATCCAAGCGCCCACCCTCCTGGAAATGTGCCTTAAGACTCGCGATCGAACGAATGACACTACACTGTGATCACCAATCGCTCAACCGTCCGATTAATCGGGTGAGCGGGTGATGCGATGGATGTTGGGGGGTGGCGGTGTTGACCGATCTGAGAGCGTGTCCCAGTCGATAAACTGGGCAACCGCGCCGCGTAGCGACCAGACTCACCACGTGCATCTCCCCCTCGTTCACACGCGCGCGAGAGAAGCTTTCAAACCAGACTGCGGACGCATGACCGGGGATTTCGCTTGAACCTTTCAGACCTTTTGGCAATCCACTGCTGGATGAAAGCCTCCCCACGCCAGGCCGATCTCAGTGTGACTTGTTTTTTGTTACCATGCTTCACCGCTCTGGTGAATGCGAGTTGGTGGAGTGAGCAGGCGACTCGGCACCGGTTTGGGAATCAGCCGACGCCGATGCCAAGTTGTCCGTGTCCGGGAATCGAACTCAGGTCGCCGGGTTCATGATATCGCTGCGTGATAACCACGGTGCCACTGCTTTACTCGCAAAAAATGTCATCGATTACATGTTATCATTCGCACTTCCCCACTGTTATTATTGCTTGTGCCAGTTAAAGACGCGCACACACACACACACGAGATCCACTATTATAGACACACACACAGACAGCTGCCGTTTGTACTACCTGCCGTGTCACTGTCTTTGTGCGTGTGTCGCCTCCGCCGTCTCCTCCGTAGCGTCTCGCGTGCGTTGTCCTGTCTGGTCTGGAATGAGTTCCGCTGTCCCCGAAGCGTCTCGTCTGTGCACCTTCCCGATTGTACCGCTGTGCTGACTGCA